CTGTTTGCCATTTAAACTGGACTATATTGCAACTGCGAGTCAATTTTACATAACCAATAATTCCCAGTCAATTTTACATAAATAAGTAAAAATTTCCCCTCAACAAAATGTAATAAAGAGAAGTATATATATATATATATACAAATAAAACAATATATTTCCATTTAAGCAAAATTAAAATAAGGGAGTAAAGAGGAGCTTGCAATCTGTATGTTGGAGCAAACTTTTATTGTTATCATTTAGCCTTTAATTTGAATGCAAATGATGCTGTATACAAGAAGTAAAGTTAGGAATTTTATTATTGATATGTCTAATAAGATTTTTACTTAGCTCATTAGAAATAAGTCATCTGTATCTATGTATATAAAGAAGAGTGTCCATTAGTTTTTTTTTTTTTTTTTTTTTTTTTTTTTTTTTTTTGGTGTGTGTGTGTAATTCATACAAATCTACAGTTGTAGTCTGATTTTAATGAAAGTTTGCACACTAGACTTGCAAACAAGAAGATCACAAGGTTTTGAAAGATGAGATCATAAGATTTTAAGAAACCATCCCATAGGGTTCCATACTTGGAGCATTTATCTTGTAATGTTGCACTCACCTGAGCTATCTGAGGTTCACTTCATCATTGTTACATTCCCGCTATCAGTGGAAGTGATACGTGCTTAGCAAGGAATTTGTAATTTTTTTAAACCAGAAATGGATATGTATTTTCAATTTTGAAATAACATCACCCATCTTAAGTTTATGTCATCATTATTGCATTCCTGCCATCAGATCTTATTAAAATCTTTAAATGGGCCTTGTTCATTTACTCTTTAGAACTTTTAAAACAGAATTTAAGTATGCTCTTTATCTTCTTTTTACAATTAAATCAAAAAGTTCAAGAAATTGGCCAAAGTGGATGGTAAATTTCTGAAAGCTCAATCAAAAAAAAAAAAAAAAAAAAAAAAAAAAAGATATAACCAGTAATAAAGAAAGTACTATCTTTTATGAAAATCATTACATGGCACCATGTCAGTTCTGCATTATTAGTCCAAAGGGGTAATTTGCCCAAAAAGACTATTAATTTTGTTTTGGCATTTTTCCTTGATTCACTACAAGCATTGCTTCACTTCTCAAATTGTTGCCACCAAATATTATCACCCTGTATTATATTTGAAGAAATTAAATAATGAAGAATCTACATAAATGTATGCATATTTCTAGCATTGTGATAAAACAACAGGAGCTAGAGCCATCCAATTTTGAATAACGTAATCCTCCAGCGAATATGGGCATCTGGAAGCCCAAATTTGAAATTTGGAATTTGTTTTATTATTGATTTCAAATTTTGGTGAAACTTTAACGAATTTTTGTTGTAAGATACACTCATTTTAAAATTATTTTGCGATATTGCTTTTAAACTGAATTTTATGGTTTAAGTGCGAAGAATATGATATTTAATAAATAAAGGTAAGACACAAAATCTTAAGAAAAAACAGCTTTAGATGTAATTTAAAGTCTGAAACCTTTCAGTTTTATTATTATCAGTGGCGGCTCATAACTAAAATTAGTGGGAGTGCTGTTCTAAAAAAATTTAACCTTTGCTTTAAAATTGTGTAAAAGGAAACAAACATGTATAAAAAGAAAATTTATTATGAAAACTTACGAGAAAAAATCAGACATTTCTTAATTACTTTAACCTAAACTGTTACAGTTCAATATATATCTATTTATTTAAAAATGAAATCCATTCTTTTTGTTTGAATTTGCGCGAAAAGATCAATAATTTTCTCCTTGATCTCTGAATGACAACCAAGGAAATTTTTTTTTATTGAAAGCAATGCAAGCACATTTAGTCTTTCCGAATTCCGAGTGCTTCTTAGAAAAGTTTTCATTCTTTTCAATGTTGAAAAGCAGCGTTCTGCCTTTGATGTAGTCATGAGAACTCTCAAGAGAATTTTTATCAGTTTCGTAATTTCACTAAGAACATCATCTACATTATTTTCGAAGATAAATTTCAGTAGCTCATTTAATTTGCAATATTCATAGATATCAGACCTGCAATAGACTACTTTTAGTTCAGTTTCAAGCTTTTCTTTGTCAATCATTGGATATGCTTCAGTGGTCAGTACTGTTTCTTCTGTAGAATGTTTATTAGCATTTCTTGTTAAACAATTTAGCAGCTGTTAAGTATTTAGTGGAGAAAAATATCTGTGCATTATACCAATACATAGCATAAAATCACATATTTCGTTAGCTTCTGTCATCAGTGTCTTTGAAAAATTATCACAGTACTTTGAATTTCTTAATTCTAAAATAGCAGTTTTGAAATTTAACTTTGTTTGAACACACTAATTTCTCTGGATTGCAATTAGTTGTATATTATTTCAACATGAGGCATAATCTGATAAAAAGGCTCTAAACAAAACTAGAAGTTATCATCATTTAGATATTTTAAAATTCCTGTCGCTTTTGCAATAGTTTGATTTACATTTGATGTTGATTGAATTTCAGTAAGGCAATTTTTTAAAGGTTGCAAATTTTTATGAACTCTGTCTATGGTCCATGTGATGAAGTTCCACTTTGTGGAGGAATACAACACGTGTGGAATAAAAAGAAATCACTTTGACTTCCCAACAACACGCCAGAATTTCGGCACTGCAAGAGCGGCAGTGCTTTCTCTCTCCCTGGCTCGGCGTGCTGCTTTCTGTGTGCGCATGTGCAGAACAGCCAAATACCACGTCGCTGGAACTGTGAAGCGCGCAGTTCCAAACAAAGTACCTTTTTCACAAACTGGGAGTTGACATTAAGCTTAAGGGATTATACCTCTGATGTAGTATAAAGTATAAAGAAAAAAAGTATGAAGAAAGAATTAAAGACTAAAGGGCACACTTTATTAAATATTAAAAATTATAATAAGTGGAAATAGAGGGTGCTGCAGTTCCACAGTGCTCATTACGAGCCACCACTGATTATTATTATTTATTTTTCTACACTTTATTTGAATGTGGTAAAATTTTGCACAATTCACGTGAACCAAAATAAGAATAAAATCACTGTCTGCTTGAGATTTAAAAAAAAGCTACCCGCCATCTGGCTAAATGAAACCTTTTCTCTTTGCATAAATCCCATGCAACACTAGGTACTTCAGCTACGGTGATATTTTGTATTACAACACGGTAGGTAGAGTATGCCATCAGTATACAGTCAAAAGTTGTTAATTGGGACACCCATAATCCGGACCTCAAAGCTACAAACTTTCTGCGCATGCATCGCGTTGACGCATGCGCATAAGACCTTTACGGCTGCGAATATGCTTGTGTGCGTGCGCAAAATACGTTTACGAGTGCGCGTTTAATGTATAACATACGGTATAAGCTAAGCTAAAATTATCTAATTATTTATTTCAGTTAATGTTGCAGATTGCGTAGTTCCTTAATCTTTGAATTGGATCCGGCTTATTATTTTTTGCAAACTGTTAGAGCAATTTTATAAAAGTAAGCTTGAACTTTCGATTATGTCAAATAGAATTTCTGATATATATTTACTAATATGTAAAGGATTTACAAAGCAAAAGTATATTTCGAAATTCATTAAACAAAAAGTGGAATTCCTGCAAAAAATGGATAAAGGCATATCCTTTGTTTATCTAAAACTTTAACGTTTGTTTATCTAAACTTTGTTTATCTTTAAGGCCGCGGCGGGCGCGCAATGAATTGGAAATTGATCTGTCAAAACTATCCTTATCTTCAGGGCAGATGTTTTTTATTTTATTTGGCTTATAATTCCTTACTAAATGTAGTATTTCATCTCGATGTACTCCGTCTTTGATATGATTTAAATCAAATTCCTCGTCATTATAATTCGCTTCCGATAGCGAAGAAAGTGACAGAGGTTATTGAAAACGAAAAAATTTCGATTGACAAATTAGTCGGTAGACACAGCAATTATAGGACTTGCACAGCGGAACTTTGTAACTGAACAAGAAATTGTGTCTGTTTATAGAATTAAAGAGAATGTATTATCACGTAAAAAACGAAGCAACTTAAACAACTTACATTGAAAGAAATGTTTAATAAAGTAAATAAATATTAAGCTTTTTTTGTAAGTTTTGATACCCTTTAGATCATAATTGTTCTTTATTTCATAAATTACAGTTTCACATTTTTAATTTTATAATTTCTGCATGCCATCTTACCAGATTTAAACTGATGATCTATAATCCGGAAAAATCGATAATCCGGAATCGCCGAAGTCCCGACGAGTCCGGATTAACAACTTTTGACTGTACAGCATTGCCTGAACTTAAACTCTGATTAAGCGTCTGAACTTGTTTGAATGAAACCAAAATTACAGATTATGTTAAAAGGAATTGATTTAAATAAAAAGGCAATACCATTGTTAAATATAAATCATATTCATTTAACAATGGCGATAAAATTTTGAGTGCTCTAAAAAAAATCATACAATTTTTTCAAAACATGATAATGTGTCATAATTTAGGTACTGAGACGAATTAGGAAGTCTCATGAAAAAAAATCAGCATGTCATTTCAGGAAGTCTGATTTTGGGTAAATATATGTATATTACAACTATACATCTTGTCAATGTATCTTTTGATTGTTCCTGAAACCAGGTTGAGAAATTTTACTGTAGTATCTCTATATAAGAAGACACCTACCCATTTTTGTAACTTGACACTACAGAACACTTCTGTAATACTTGATGCTTCAGAATATTTGTAATACCACACATAATAATTTATAAAAAGAAAATTATTATTTTTCTTTCTATTTGATTTTGTTTTGTAATTTAACCTCGCAAATAAATCTCACATATATTAGTAAATAATGAAATAATATTTTTGCTTTAAATAAACTTTGGAATTTGCTTTCCATCTGAATTATACTCATCGCTTGATGTAAAGAAAACGATAAATTTGTTATGTATTTAATTTTTTTTAAATCTGATTTTTTTTTTTTTTTTTTTTTTTCACATTCTGCTTATCAACATATCAGAGTGAAGAATTTGAAAAGAGGAAAATTTTGTGCAAATGTTTGCGATATGTAGCTCATTCTAAGAGTGCATCTGTACAGTTTGTGTCATCAAAGTCTGAAGCACAGGTTATTAAAATTAGAGTTTCTATTAGCAATATGGTATTTGGAACTCCTTGCAGGTATGTAAAGTTATACAATTTTTTTAATTTGTTTTTAATTGTATTTCATTATAAAATCTATTAAGAAGCTTTCAGAACAAGTAATAGTGGATAGCTCAGTTTCATAAATATTCAAGTTGATATAGATTTGAATCTTCATGTTATCTGAAATTATTTTACTGAAAATGCAAAGTTATTCACTATTCCAATGCAATTGCTATCTGCCTGGTAATAAATTTTTTTTAAATAAAAGTAATATATTAAAATTTTTTAAGCTATTGCCATCATAGTTTTTGTTCTGTTTTATAATTTCTTGCGTTTTTTTTTTTTTTTTTTTTTTTTTAACTTTCACCAAACTACAGATACAGTTTATGAATTTGGTCTAAATAATAAAAATAATCATTTTAAGAATAAAATATATTATTAGTAAGGTAAAACGTTTTTAAAATTTATATATGTTTTAACTTGTATTAATAAAAAATAAACTTGTGACGTTCTAAGATTTAAAATAATTTTTTAAGATTGTCTGCAAGAAATTAAGATTGTTTCCAAGAAATATAATAGTATGATAGATTTTTCTCCTGAAAATCAGTGTTTGCTTTCTGTCATAATGATGTATCAGGATAATCTCCAAAGACTGTGCTAGATGTTTAAAGATTTTCTTTCCAAAATGAGTTTTTGCCTTTTATCAGAATGCTAAGTAATATTTAAAAAAAAAAAAAAAATACAGTTATTTAATGGATTTTCTGTCTGAAATGAGTTCTTTTTGTAAAAGTTGATTTTATGTAATTCAATCTCTTAGCAGATATGAATTTTATTTACTTTTGTATAAATCTAAAACATTGTTGCATATAGAGTAATGTTTTACAACATATTTTCACCCCCAGCAAGACTGCTGTTTTAGATCACAATAAACCCTTGTACATTTCCTGTGGTGCAGATTCTTTTGAGTCAATTGGTCAGTATTTTTTATTAAGTAAATTTTAGTTGCTTAACTAAATTAACTGCATTGGTCAGTATTTTTTATTAAGTAAATTTTAGTTGCTTAACTAAATTAACTGCATTAATATAAATTAGTATTAATATATTTAACTTTCTAAGAAAGCATTTTATTAAATAGTATGCTTTCAAACTAATAAATGGGACATATAAATAATTCAAATGTATTTTAAGACTATGCATTTTTAGAGGCCAGTGTATTGGATGCGTCATAATGGATTGTAATCCGCAAATTATTTTACATATTTATTTCTCATTTCATAAATTATTTTATACCTTTATTTCTTATTTCAAAAATTATTTATCAACATGATTGTAATCATAAATTATTTTATACTTGTAATCATAAATTATATAATGATTGTATCATAAATTATTTCTTTGTAGTTAAAAATAGAGATAAAACAAAATGCCATAATTTCAGAATTTTCTTTTCAGGTTCTTTGACCTCTTTGAATGTGGAAAATAAATCTGGACCAAAGTAAGTTTTTGTTTCTTTATTTCTGTTAACTTTTTCTGTTAATTTTTCAAAGGTTTATATAACATGCTGAAATTTATTTAAAAATTTTTGCATACGCATTCAATATTAAGATGGTATTTCCTAAAGCCTATCTTTCATGTGAAATGAACATTTCTCCAACCTAAAATCTGTTTTGTCCTTTGCTTTGTTGGTAGTTACAAGGATAAAGGAAAGTAATTGGTCTGTCATTGAAATTAAGTATTGCAGAATTTTTTTTTTTAGCACAGCCAGTTCAAGGGTGATGCAAGTGAGGCACTTGCCTCAGGTGAAGAACTAGAAGGGGTACCATATTGGTTATGAAAATTTATAAATTAAAAAAAGGGGGGAATTATGATTAATAAATTTCAACTTTTGAACAAATCAAGACATATCAAATTAATTTTGTGTTATACACAATTCACCTGAATTAAGTGAAGAATAAAAAACAGTAATTTATCCTCGAAAGTGTTAAGGTTTCATAGTGCTATATATACTGTTTGGTAACAATAAAATATATTATTGGAATTGACGCACTGAAGTTTACTTAAACTTGTTGTAATGAGCTGCATAAACTAAACTTGTCTAAAATGTACCATATAGCCGATCCTTAGTACTTTATCACTGTCTTCTTTTAATCTGAACGGTAGCTCTTACTGCTTTTTGCTATAAGCTTGTGGTAACCGGCGGCAAGTTGTGCTGATGACTCCATGTTAATGATTAGTACATTTGTTGAGGTGTATTTATTGCAAATTTATGAGAAGCTATTATACAATATGTAATAACATGGGAAACGGAACAATTAATGCAGGTGAGATTGCCGTCCTCGTTATGTGAGGATCTTGCTAACAGAGGGTCTATCTAGTCAAGAGCTACAGAGCATTCTGGCATGTTGTTCGGTTGGAAACTGTAAAGATTTAAAAAAGGTGAATCAGAGGCCGATTATAATTAAGTAGAGGCTGTATTAAATGATGGAATTTCACCCACATGGAACAGCACATTTCTACATATCACACCATGACCAAGAACTACTACAACTGTTGCCAGATCAACCTAAGCAAAAGTATAAAACAGATATGGTTAAAATGCATGACATTAAATCAGAAACGGGGAGTACGTGTGATTATTCTCAACAGAAACAATCTGCAGACTGAATTAGCCACGTCTCCATAATTTTTTAGTTGTATTTTACATTCTCTGATTCGTTATATCTGGAACGATACCAGAGTAAAAACAAGATCGTTAGGTTAATTCAGCCCTCCTGGAAATCGAAGATGGCTTTGACGACAGACACAGTGCAGAAAGCTAAAATCTCTTGACACTAGGTCGTTAAGTTGATGTCTTTTGTACTGTCAACTGGAACGAATTATTGTGTCTGCGATGTCAGACCATGTCGTGTCACACATCGTAACAGCGACTTGTGGGGAACCTCAGTCACGATTTTCTCATCTCTGTGTGGTCCGCCGCATACTCCCCCCCTCCAGTATCATCTTAATGATATGTAAAAATCGGTGAAATGCACATGTCTGCCCGAACGAGTTTGACGAATATTTGGTTTGGAGTGATGGGCAAATCTATGTTTCAAAGTATCAGGAGAGCAAGTATCCATCTCGGTATTCAACAGAAATGCTAGTTTTACCTGGTCATTTGAGACCAAAACAATTTTTCCATGAATGTCTAATTTGAACACTTTTTCACCACATTTGAGAACTTTATAAGGGCTGTCATGCGGTGGTTGTGGCCGTCGTACTACATCACATCGCATAAACACATGTGAACGTGTTTTTAAATCTTTGTGAATAATCACTGGCTTTTGCTGTATGTGATCCAGTTGGTTTTGGTTTAAGCTGCTGCATGCAACTTCTAAGTTGTTCAACAGGATCAATAATAGCATTCAATGTGTCGAAAAAAAATCTCCCAGGAGTTTAATTGTAGTTCTGTACACAAGTTCAGCAAGAGTGCAACCGATAGTTTCTTTGAGAGCTATTTTCAACCTAAGTAGCACAGTTGGTAAAACTTTCATCCATTTTAAAGTGTCGTGACACATTAATGCGGATGTTAAAGGACGGTGAAATTCCTAAGTTAAGCCATTCCTTTGAGGGTGAGAAGCAGTTGGGCATATCTGTTGTACGCTTAGGAGTTTAATTAGATAGAGCCTTAAAAAAACAAGATTCGAATTGACGTCTTTGATCAGTTGTAATAGTAGCTGGCACAGAAAAACGAGCGATCCAGTTTTGGGTAGAGGGCATCCGCTGTAGCTTGAATATCAATGATGGGAATTACTTTTGTCCATTTAGTAACGATAGCTATTATACAATATGTGAATCCATTGAAAGGTGGATGTGGGCCGATGAGATCTATATCAATATGTTGAAATCGCGTAGAAGTTTCGCTAAATGATTGTGAAGGGGCTGAAGTGTGTTTGTGTATTTTAGATTTCTGGCACGAAATACACCGTATTTGGCCACGCATGTCGACTACGAACTTATTTTGACGCCGTTCAAATGGCTGGATAAGCTAAATTATGTATGCAATTAAAACACAATTTTCGAAATGCCTTGGGAATATAAGGTCTTGCTATGCCAGTAGATATATCACAATATAATTCTATTTCTAAATTTGGGGGCTTAACTTTTTTTATTTGTAAAGAATTGTTAAGTATTTCTTTTAACTCATTATCTCTTTATTGTGCTAGAACAATTTCTTCATAATCAATAGGACCAATATTTTTTTCCGTAAACATGAGATAATGTGTCGGCCGCAGTATTATCAGTTCCTTTAACGTACTGAATATCAGTTGTGAATCGAGAAATAAAATCTAGTTGCCGAGTTTGACATGGGGAACATTTTCAAGTTTTTGTTTGAAGGCAAAACTATTGGTTTGTGGTCGGTAAATACCGACTGAAAATTGTTGTTCCTCTATCTAGCATGTATCTAAATTTGCGAATGGAAGAGTGTATTGCTAATAATTCTCTATCATAGGCACTGTATATTGCCTCAGTGGTGGTGAGCTTTCTAGAAAAAATTGCTAGGGGTTTGAGTCCTTCTTTAGTTATCTGAATTAAAGATCTGCTTATAGCATAGTCAAATGCTTCGACTTGAAGAATTAGCGATGCATTTGGCGAAGGATGTGCTAATAATGTAGCATTTGCTAACTGTTGTTTAGCATTTTCAAAAGTTTCACTTGTTTGAAGAGACCAAGAAATTTTGTGCTCCTCCTTGTTTCTTGAACCTTTTAAATGTTCTCCGAGTAGTGCTTGATTATGTGCTGCACGTGGCAGGTACCTACAGTAAAAATTTAGTCATTAACATTTGCTGAAGTTCAGGGTTGCGTCCACCCGTTCAAGTAAAGATTTAGTACCATTCTTGGTTATTAAATGGCCTAAGAATTTCATTTCAGGAACCCCGTAAACACATTTTGAAGTATTTAATTTAAGTCCATATATTTGTTTAGTTTGTGTAAAACTTATATGTTGAATAAGTTATATGTTGTTGGAAATATGTTGTTTATGAAGTGTTTCGTTTTCTGAGAATACTAGAATGCCATCTAAGTATGTGCAACAAAAGTCCAATCGTTGTAACACTTTCTGCATGAAATGCTGGAACGTTTGATCAGTATTTTTGATTCCAAAATTTAAGGACATTCAAAAGGACCGAAAGGGGTAATTAACTGCTGTTTTAGATTTGTGCTTTTCATAGATGGGTATCATATCTAATGTAGAAAACACCGTTTCTAAATTGAAACTTCTAAATTCAAAAAAAAAAAAAAAAAAAAAAAAAAAAACCTTGCAGTGTCTTTAGAAAACTCTATTTTACCATGAAGAGATTGAGCGAAATCTTGCATATGGGGAATAGGATATGAATAAAAAACTGTAACTGAATTAAATACTCTGTAATCTTCAACTGGTCTAATGCCAGTAGGCTCTTTATGTACTATGTGTAGAGGTAATGACCAGTTACTCTTAGAAGGTTGACAAATTTGCTGTTTTATCATAAATTCAAACTCCTTTTTTGTTTCCTGATAAACTTCGGGACCAAGCCGTCTGGCGTTGGAGCGGACTGGTTTCCTTTAGTTTCAATATTATGAACTGTGTCATGTTTAATTACTTTGCTATGAATAGAATGATTAGTTAGTTCTGGAAGTGGTCTAAGAGTTTGGTGATATTGATAGCATTCCGAAACAGTCTTAACATTCAGTTGAGTGTTGTGCTCCAAGTTGCCACTACTAGCAAGACTTGTTAATGTATCAACGATATTTTTTTTTAAATCAACTAGTTATCCAAAATGGGTGATAAAATCGGCACCTATTATGGAAATTGAAACATTGCTATTATGAAATCCCATTTAAAAGTTGGCCTGAAATCGAAAGTTAAATTTAATTGCTTAAATGCTGTATTTTTTTTAGCATTATTTGCAGCAAATAGCTGTAGAGTAGTACCAGTGATATACTTTCTTTTGGCACCGGAAGGCAGGAAATGTTAATATCTGTGTCAACAAGAAACTTCATGTTTGGCATAAATGTATAATCTGCTGGAAGTGTTCGTTGCTATTTCCGTATCCATGACTTGTTTCGGAATAACAGCGGAATTTAGTTTTCCACCTGAAATGAGCATTGAAGCATTTACGAGCATCAGCTGCAAACTTTTGGTGATAATAACAATAACCAATTTTTTTCATATGATTTGCATGCGAATTACGTTGCCTACTTTTTGAATTACATTGTCATTACCGTGGTATGTTGGATTTTAATTGTACTGTTCAACCTTGCTTAATGGGATTCTGTATTTGTTTGATCATTAAGCTTAGTGCTGAGCTTAACTCTGAATTTTGTTTAATATTTGATGCTGCGCAAATAGTGAGTTGTGCATCATTTGTGATTTCCGAAACCTTATCTGCTATCTGGGATAGACGAGTTAAATCTGCATCCGAAGTGGATAAAATTGCTTGCATATCGGAAGTAGGTCTTTGTATCCACATATTTTTTAGGAAATCAATGTAGGAATGTATTTTGTTTGATGCTGCCTCTTTCATTTGTTTCATAAAGGAAACTAGGTTTTTTGTTACCTAATTGTAATTCCGATCAAAGTTTATCAATTTGCTCTACTTCAAAATCTTGATCTGCGATTAGTCTATTTTTTTTTTAAGTTAGATATTTTTCAGTTTCAGGAGGTGTTAAGATTAAATCCGGTCGCAATTTCTTGCCGCTGAGGTTGCATATTGCTTGTATTTACTGCATATTTTTGAATGAAAACTATATTTATTACAAATTTATGAGAAGCTCTTATATAGTACATAGAATAACATGGAAAACAAAGGAGGATCTTGCTAGCTGCGCTTCTCTCTAGTCGAGAGTTACAGAACATTCTGGCGTGTTGCTTGATTGGAAACAATCTTCAAATTGAATTAGCCACGCTTCCTTAACTTTTCAGTTGTATTTTACATCCTCTGATTCGTTATATCTGGAATGATATTAGAGGATAAACAAGATCGTTGGTTCGTTAGCTTTCCCTAAATCGAGAGGCTTTGACCACAGACACAGTGCAGAACGCTAAAATCTCTCGACACTATGTGGGGGACTTCACACACGATATTCTCATCTCTGTGCGGTCCGCCGCAAGCTTCTCAAAGCCCGCTGAGTATGGACACAGTTGCCTACAATTTGCTGAAGCAGGCCTAATGAAGCATGAAGTTCCATTGGAATTGCATAAGAAGAATAAACAAGAACGTTTGAAAAATGCTTAAAAAAGAAATTAAATGCTTGTATTATCAGTCTTTTGTTTTCTTTCTTGTGTGGAATTTGCCACTGAATGCATAGCATGGTTAAAGGCTTTTTTTTTAAATTCCATCCATATTTGATCTGTGTTGACACTGTGCAATCTACAGTTATTTCTAGAGTAGTTCCATATATTGCTGGACATATTAAAGAATTAGCATGGTAGTCGTCTCATTCATTGCCAAGACTGAAATGTAAACATGAGAGGTAAGACATGCCTTTCTTTCCTGCCTTTTTTTTAGTTACTCTGTTATATATAATGAAACAAGTATTTTAAAATTTTGAATTTTATGCGAAGGCTCAAGTCAATTCGTTCTATATATTCTAGTATAAGTAAATATAAATAATAAAATAAATTGATATAAAATTCATTATTCAAAGATAACCAATATAAAAAAGGATAGTAATAAAAGAGATTTTTCTTGGTTATGAAATTTTAAAAAGTACAGTTTCATAAATATTGAAACATATTAAAAGAGAATTAAATGAACGCGATAAACTGTTGATCTGAAACTGGGGGGGGGGGAAGAGAACTGAAATTAAAAATGAAAAAGGAAATTGACTAGAAGTGGCAAACATATTTACAGCAGTAAATAAAAAATCATTGGTAAACACTAATAATGCTGAAGAATAAGAAAACATAATATGCTGAAGCACCCTGATCTGTCTGCTGAGACAGAAAAAAGTGAGGATAAAGCATGAGTCATCATTAAATCTTATTAATTCAAAAATTTTGTTTTGTAGCTATATGAGGAGAACGAGAGCCTGTACAAATATTATCTTACAGCTGATGTGTTGACCATTTTAAAATTAGTTGGCAAAGTTCTGTTTAAGCTCAAATAAGCTTTTTCTGCAATCAAAACTCATTTTACTGATAAAATATTCACAAATATTAATTACTAGTTCATTGATTAATTATATATTGTAAAGCATGTGGGCTACCTGCTTTAGAAGAGACACTTTTATGTAGGCTATTTCAAAAGAACTTTCTCATATTCAAATTCCATATGGAGAAAATACGCAAACAGTATGGAACCAATCCATTTGCCAAGAATCATAGCAAGATGTGTTATCAGTGTGAACACCAACATTCAGACAGGAACATAGAATGCATTATTTAATAATTGCTGAGAAGAATTTTGGTAGTCAGGAACATCTCTCAACAAGAAAATTATATGTTTAACTTAACATATTGAAAGGAATAATTTGTTGATCTGTATTGAAGGTAAAGAAAGGAAAAAAGCTGCAAAAATTCATTGCACTAAACAGAATTCGAACCACGATAGAAACATGCTAGGATACTTTTAGCTTTTAGAAACGTGAAGTGATTTTAGCATGAAAATCATGCTCAGTTTGTATCAGTGTAATGATCAGCAGTATCAGATACTTGTGTATATTAAGAAAGAAAAAAATCTATAGCTATTGAAAAAAGCTTGACCAATTTTATAGAAACAATGAAAAATAGCTTTACTTTTGTAAATAGTAAGAATAATGAACGAATTGTCTTCTTTGTTGTGATTTAATCGGACATTTTTATAATTTAGAACAAGGTGGCCTCGGTATTCAAAATACTCGAGTTCAGCTGTGACCAGTATAGCTGGACTGTTCAAAGGTGTGAAAGGTTTAACAAAAATTATCCTTCCCAATCCATTCCTTGTTCGCCTCATAGTTTAAATTAGTATGCAAAATGTCGCTTTTAATTCAACCAAGTGACTGTTTTTTGAATTGTTCAGAAGATTATAATTTTGTGTACCTTCGCTGAGTAGTTGGGATGCTTTTTGTCTACATTTTTTAAATATGTTATTCCTTTCTTTCTTTTTCTTCTTCTTCTTCTTCTTTTTTTTTTTTTTTTTTTTTTAATTTTCTTTTTTCCCTTTTTTTGGCAGGAGGCTTCGAAATTTTATTGTGTATATGGGTGCAAAATGACCTCTTTGCTTCAGATGAAGCACAGCTCTATTCTTCAGTATTTCTTTCCTTTTCTTCTTTCTAATTTATAAACTTGATGTTATAAAAATTTCTACATTTTTATTATGAAATATGATATGGAAAAAAAGTGTGGGGAAAATGATAAAAAGTATTTTAGTTTACTCTGTTCAAAATCTTCACAATGAAACATTAATAGTAATAATAATATATATCCTTTAGTTTATCTGCTATTGTATGTATGTAGGTGGCTAATATTTAGCCTGTTTACAATAATCAAAATACTTATTTTTGCATGTGCTTTTGATATAAATGTGTAACTTCACTTCGATGCATTATTTTATAGATCATTGATGGAAGTGAAGAAAATTTTTACATCTTATTTTCTACAAGTTGTAAGTACATTTTATAATAATATTTTGGAATGATAGCATTATTTCTAATAGCTCTGGGCTGATAAATTTAAATCAGTCATAAGAAATATTTATATTATTCACATATTATTTCATTTATTTGAAAATAATAAGGAAAACGATCAAGTATATTCTCACTTACATTATTGGGAAACTATTCCATATCAGCTATGCTAAAATAGCATGGATAACAGTTTACCAGTTTTCTCTGACTGTTTTCTATACATTCCTATATCCAACTACCATATATGGTTCATTTATGCTATTTAATTTATTTACAGAAGTTGATTGTACACAAATATTCTCTCTATAGCGGGGGCTCTCAGGGGGGACTTTCATAGTTTCAGGAGGGAATGCAGTCAGCCTTTTATATAGCTCTTAAGTATTTAGTTTTAGCTTATGAATATAAAAAACACTACTTTTATTCAACTTTTGGTATCAGGTTGTTAAGAAAGTAATTTTGGTTTTTTATTGTAAAAGAAAACTAAAATTTTTTTCTGTGGAAAAAATGAACTTTTTTAATCAGTCAAATATTACCCATTCTGAACGATGACCTTTTGCCATCTTTTTCGTAATTTCATGATTCCACGCACGTGGAACTTCTGATCTTGATCAGGAAAAAATTCGACCAAATGCGATTGGAGGTCATGATTATTACTGGAATTTTTACCATTTAAGAAGTTTTGTAAACTTTGAAATAAATGATAATCTGATGGTGCAAGCTCGGGACTACATGGGGGATTCAATATTATTCACAACTAAGCTCCAATAATTTTGTACATGTTGCTAAAGATGTGTGAAGCCTTGCATTGTCATGTTGGAACACAGTTCCTTTGCGATTTTCCTATTCTGACCTTTCCGGTTTCATTGCTTCCTCTAATTTCATAAATTGTTGGCAGTTAACATCTGAATTGATCATTTGGTTGCTTGGAAACAGCTCAAAATATGAAACACCTTTGTAATGCCATCAAAAGCATAAGATGGTTTTCTAATAAGGTAAATATCAATCCTTTTTTATGTATATAGCTATTATCTTACTTTCATAATTAATTATTTCTTAATTTTTACTTATTAATTTTGATATTAAATTTATTAGTTTGATGTTCTTTTTATGTGTTATTGGACATATCTACAGCATTTTTTCACTTTATTACACCCTGCTATTTTTAGGCTTCAGATGGCAACAGACAGTGTTTACCTTTTTAGTGAATTAAAAAAAAATCTCAATTCATTTATTCTGGAACTCTGTAGGAGCTAATTCATCAACTCACTTTCTGTTAATGAATTAATTTTGGCCTTTTATCTTTGAAAGAAATCTGACAGGACATCATATGACTTCTTTGTGGGGCCCAATTACACACATTTGTTTCTGTACTTCATTTAAACTTAGTTCTTCAAATTATTCTAAATTAATTAACCCATTCCTCAAGGCAAGTTGAAAATGACAGCAAAAGGTGCAAATTTTGAAATTTAATATCCCGCTTAATTTTTGTCATGCGGGAATCAAACTTCTTATATATTTTTTCCATGATGAGTATAAAACTTCCCAAATATAAGCATAGGACCCAGCAAAAATTAATTTTCCTTGTCTTTTTTTTTTTTTTTTAATTTGACGTTTACAAAATGTATATTTTTTGCCATTTAAAGCACTTCTGTAACTGGAAGTATATTACTCTGACCAATGACTGTGAAAATAAAAGCTAGGTAAGGGGGTGAGTATCGAGTATCGTCATCTTACTACAGGTCTCAACTAGAAAAGAGTTTTTACGAGTATATTGAAATTCATACGAGTAACATTTGCTTCGTTTTCAAAGAAACACTTAAATACGGTGTCTTAACAAAAACACCACAGCACAGAGGCAAGAATACATATGTAGAAACATGAAATTTTAATCGTAAGTAAAGAGTTCTAGCCGGTGAAAGTCCAGGATCAATCAATATCAATACACTTATTGCCAGGCTATCGCTAATATGTGCGCTGTTGTCGGCTCAATGACAAGTCTGCCCAAGCGGCGCATGAAGTAACAGTCGGACGGAGTAAGAGGAGGTATGAGGTGAAGAGAGGGAGGGGGGTGACCATACACCACAAGGTTTTAGAAAACCAAACAAGAATGAAGACCAGGAGAGGCTTGATAAGAGTGTGGGTATCTGACTGTGTTAACATAACATACATAAGAAAATGTATAAAATACAAAGTTTTATATATTAAAAATAAGTCAGTACGGTAAAATGAGAATAAAAGAATAAATGTGAAATACAAAATATATACTTAACAATATAAACATAAATACATAAGGTGCAATTAAGTCGGGAAATTCAAGTCACGGGTGAGGTGGGCCGCGTAAAGGTCTGATATTAACATCTTCAGGTAGTATAACATATTCGAAGGTGTTGAATTCTCGTAAGTGTGAGCAATTCGTGGCCTTATTAAAGAAATTTTTATTCATACGATTGATAAATTCTTCTACCCATTCAATTTTAAAGTCATTGTGTAGAGTATCATTTCACACGTAAAAGTGTGCTTGGGTGATGAGCCTTAAGTATTTATTTTGAACAACCTGCAATTTATTTAAATCCTTTTTGTTGACCTCAGACCATGCCAGTGAAGCATATGTAAAGATGAGTCTAATAATAGCAGTGTATATATGTTTCTTCCTCAGGAGATACAGTTTGGCGTATTTCACTATCAACGGAAATAGATATTTCATCGTGGAAAAGCTCTGCCTCGAATCTTATTAATGTGGCGCTCCATGGAAATTTACTGTTAAGAGTGACACCCAAGTAGTTTGCTTTTTGCACTATGGGAACATCAACATCGAAAAGTTTAAGTCTGGCAGCGGCGAGTTCTTTTGGCCTTTTACTGAATGATTAGAAGCTGAGACTTCTGTGCATTAATAGAGATTCTCCACACTGTGCGCCAGTTTTTTATCTGTGGAGTAATGTGCTGCAATTTATTTAGGGCATTTTCTACGCTAAGTAACTTTACGGCCAGGGCTGTATCATCAGCATAGCAACCTACGAAGCCATTTAAATCATTGAAAACACGCGGAAAATCCATCACGTAGAAAATATACAAGATTGGACCCAAAATGGACCCCTGAGCTACTCCTGCCTTGAGTCTTTTTTTAACAGAATTATCTTTGCCTATATTTAAAAAGAACTTCCGATTTTTGATAAAAGAATAAATGAGTAGTACAGTCAAAAGTCGTTAATTCGGACACCAAAATCCAGAATGATCTATAATCCGCACCTCAAAGCTAAAAACTTTCTGCCCATGTGCCGCGTTGACACATACGCATAAGCGTTTACGCTTGTGCGTAAGACCTTTACGACTGCGCATATGCGTGTGCGCAAGCACAGAATACGTTTTCGCGTGCACATTTAATGTATAACGGACGGTATAAGCTAAAATTATCTAATTATCTATTTCAGTTAATGTTGATGATTGCGTTGTTCCTAAATCTTTGAATTAGATGCGGCTTATTATTTTTTGTAGACTGTAAGAGCAATTTTATAAAAGTAAACTTGAACTTCCGATTACGTCAAATAGAATTTCCGATGTTGGAGCTCCCAAAGGATCTACAAAGCGAAAGCATGTTTCGATGTTCATCAAACAAAAAGTGGAATTGCTATAAAAAATGGATAAAGACATGAAGAAGGTGATAGAGAGGTTAGTGAAAACGAAAAAATTTTTGATGACAAGTTAGTCGGTATTCTCGGCACAGCAATTACGGGACTTGAACAGCGGAACTTTGTAACTGAACAAGAAATTATGTCTGTTTATAGAATTAAAGAGAAAGTATTATCACATAAAACGAAGCAACTTAAACAACTTACATTGAAAGAAATGTTTAATAAAGTAAACAAATAAATATTAAGCTTTTTTTTGTAAATTTTGATACCCTTTAGATCATAATTGTTCTTTATTTCATAAATTATGGTTTCATATTTTTAATTTTAGAATTTCTGCACGCCATCTTACGAGATTTAAACTGATGATCTATAATCCAGAAAAATCGATAATCCGGAATCGCCGAAGTCCCGACGAGTCCGGATTAACGATTTTTGACTATATAAGATCCCTGTTAAAATCTAAGCAGATTAATTTGAATAACAGCTCCACATACGAGATGCTGTCGAAGGCTTTCATCACGTCTAGCATGAGTAAGGCTACTTTCTGATGATTGTGAAGAGATGATCCAATAATTTCATTGAGGCAGACAAACTGCTTTGTCGTGGAGAGTGATTTTCAAAACCCGAACTGTTCGAGCGGTAATTTGGTCAGATAAGGCTCAATTTTTCTTTAAATAATTTTTTCGTAGATTTTACCTAAACCAGGCAAAAGACTAATAGGGCAAAAATCCTCAGGTTTAGTGATATCTTTACCTGGCTTAGGTAGGAGAATGACTTTAGCGACTTTCTAACTCTTAGGAAAATAGTTATTCACAATGCAGGCATTTACGATACTTGTGTATTTTGCGACGGTATTTAAGGGTAGGTTTGATGGCAATATTCGTTATTTCGTTGTAACCTGGCGCTTTCCTGTTCTTTAATTTTCTAATAACATCCTTAATTTCATTTGGAGTAGTCAGATCAGGTTTGCTTCTCGGACTCGGACTATTGACCCAGTCATGTATAAAATACCTTTTGTCATAGGAAAACGTAAGGTCGCAAGGATCCATGTTTGGCATGAACTGCTTTTCCAGATGGTCTGCCATAATTTTGACCTTATCTTTATTAGTCACAGCAATTGCATCATCACAGTAAAATGGCTTATTTACAGTGGGCCTATTCTTTAGATTCCTAGTAAACAACCAAAAGGCATTATTTGGCTCATTGAAGCTGGCAATTTTATCATTCCATCTCACGTTTCTATAGTTATAAATATTCTCCTTGAGAGTCCTATTAAGTTTATTTATGTCTCTTTTGATATTAGGGTTCCATGAGATGCACCATCTTTTCCTGAGCTTATTTTGCTTCTTAATCTGGTTGCGAATAAACCAAGGGAGCCTTTC